TATGGCCTCAACAGACCAAAGAAGAAGAAACCGAGTTTTCCTCTAGAACATGGGGAATTCTAGGTAGAAATCAAGTGGTATGGGAAAAACAGGTCAGGGAAGCAGAAACCAAATATAGTAGTACAATGTTACAAAGTTCACAAGTTTGGCTGGGAACTAAGATAAAATCAAACAGTGTGGCCAGAGAAATCCTACTTTAATGTCAGAGGCTAAAGGAGTCCTTCATAGCTCAAACTGTCCTGCTGCCTAATCCAAGGATGGGGAGAATGGGACCCAAACGTGCCCATACTTACTGAAACTATACGGGGCACAGCCAAGTAGAAACTGTCTTGACTCCCAGTCATTTCATATTTCACAGAATGAGCCGCTCATCAGCTAGTAGCAAGGAACTACTAATGTGATTATTCCAAAACCAGCTTTGCCGGTAGTAGCTCCTAAGGCTGAGCCTACACATATCCTGTGAACTAGCAATCCTACACTTACGTATAGACCTATCAGAAATGCATACATTATATACCAAATGGCAAATACTAGAATGGTCACAGCCAAAGGCTGGAAACTGACCACATGTCCATTGATGGTGCATAGATAAAGACATGGTCTATTCAACTCAGAAGGAGCTCTGGTGGCAAAGTGCCTAAGGCATTTGACTGCTAACCAGAACGTTGGCAGTTCAAATCCACCAGCTGCTCCACAGAAGGAAGATGGGGCAATCTATTTCCATAAAGATTTACTACCTTGGAAACTCAATGGGGGTTGCTGAGTCAGAATTGACTCGATGGCAATGGGTTTGGTTTCTTGGATTTTATTCACCCAATGGCCACTATCAGCAAGAAAGCACACCACAGCCACAGATGGCACTACTGATGAATTACAGAAACCTAACTTAGCTTAAGGAAAGAAGATACAGTATGATTCCATTTATAGAAAGTGTAAGTACAGGAAGTCAGGTCAGCAGTTATCCTGGAGAAGGACATGATTGGAAGGGAATACAAGGGGAGCTCTGGTATCTTCTGTTTCTTTCTTTCTTTTTATTGTGATTTGAGTGAAAGTTTACAGAGCAAATTCACTTTCCATACAGCAGTTCACATACACTTTGTCTCATGACATTGACCACAGTTTACCCCAATGCAACAGCTTCCTTCCCACCTCCTCCTGATAGCTACCTCTTCCCAGTGTCCATCCCTCCATGCACTCCTGCCTCCTGAGCTGTCTCCCTGTGCATAAGCAGCCCTTCTTTCTCCCATGATTGTTCCCTTCAAGGAACATGTTCACCTCATATGCCTGTGTTTTGTTTGGCCGGAAGCCACAGGTGTGGGTTCAATTCTAGATCTGAAGGGCAGCTAGGGGCCATAGTCTCAGTGGTTCCACCAGGCTCTATCAGACCAGCAAACCTGGTCCCCCTTTTTTTTTCCATATGATTTTGAGTGTTGTTTCACATTGTTCTCTCTCTCTCTGTCCAGGGTCTCCCACATAGATCCTCTTCCGAGTGGATGACAGTGGTAGCTGGGCACCATCTAGCTCTTCTGGTCTCATAGTCGTAAAAGCTGCAGATCGCATGGTGCACCAGTTGCTAAGACTAATTGTTTCCATCAATCTTTAGTTTTCTTTATTCTTCTTTGCTCTGGATGAGGATAGACCCATTGTTGCATCTAGATGGCTGCTTGTAACTTCTTAAGATCCCAGTTGCTACTTGCCAAAGTAGGAAGTGGATATCTTCTGTTTCTTAAACTGAGTGCTGAGCATACGAGTGTGCTCAGTTTGGAAAATCCATTGATTCACACTTACAGTGTGCCTAGTTTTCTAGTTTATATGCCATAGTTTTGTTTTTTTTGTTTTTTGTTTTTTTGTTTTTTTTAAAGAAGAAGAAGAAATTGACTGGAACCCAGGTTTACTTACTATTCTTCCTATATACTAAGAAAAACATTTTTTTCTTTGGGGAGTGTTTTGTGTGTGTGTGTGTGTGTGTGTGTTGTCCAGAATTGATACAATGTGCCATATTTGACCTGAATAACATAAAGTACACTGAGATAAAAAATACATATGTACAGAAGAGGAAAGAATAGTATCAAACTCTTTCTATGAAGCCAGAATAACCATGATGTCCATCTAAATCAGGCAAAGACATCACAAAAAAAAAAAAAAAAAATTACAGACCAATATCCCTTATGAACATAGATGCAAAAATTTTCAACGAAGTCCTAGCCAACACCTCATCAACATATTTAAAAATAAATAAATAAAGCTCTGTCAGGTGTCTAAGTAAGATAAGCACTGTGCCACCAGAGCTCCCCACAAGTGCAGCAGCAGTGTCCTTGAATTCCTCTCATTTTTCTCCTACTCTCTTATATCGCTTGGTTGTTTCCTCTCTGCACTAGTACTGAAAATGGGTCTCTCTCCTTGGAGAGCCCTCTTGCCACCAATCCACATTTATGGCATCCTCCCACACCAGGCCTGTGATTCACATCCCCTTTTGGATGCCTCTGCTAATTTATGCCACACACATGGGTGAAGTTCTAACTTCTCCTTCCTCAGCAGTTACTGAGTTCACACTGTCATTAATGTGTGTACCATATACTCCCACTTGTTTTATTTTTGCCAAGGCTTCCCAGCTAGATTAAAAACACGGACAATGCCCTCTGGGAGAGATCTCAATCCTCTGTGGTCTCCAACAGGCAGCCGGTATCCCGTTATCGTTCTCATAAGCAATAAGGGTGCATGGGATGAGCCTCTTGCTTTTCCCAGAAACTGCTGTGTCCAAGACACCCATCTCTTCCCCCCAGCACCTGGGACAGGACTCCACAGAGGCCCCAAGAACCTCCTTTTATTGCCCCTCCACTTCCCAAAAGCCATCCTTCTAAATAAACTCATCCTCACTGTGGCCAAATAGCCCAGCAAGGAAAGTAGGGACGAACTGAAGGAGGCAAATCAAGGAACAAGGACTTTGTTCTTCACCCAGTAACTGCCTGCCTTTAATATATTCTTAAAATTCACCACTATTCAATTTTGATAACGTGACAATCTGTCAGTTTGTACTAGAATTTTAAGAATCTTGCAAATAATAGAGTTGGAGGGCAAAGTCACAAACGGAGGGCCTTATACCCAGTAGCCTTTCCTCACTCCCCTACCCATTAGCCTCTTCATGCCTTCCCCATCTCAGCCGTTTATTTTCTTGCCTAGAGATGAAATGGCTACTAATTATAACCAAAAATATTCAAGGTTTCTTTCATCTTACAGAAACAGCAGCACCAATATAAAGGACATATACTAAAAACAAACAAAAAAACCCACTCATGACATTCTGATTACAGTGCTGTTCATATTGGTCTTGGCCAAGCAAATGTTTGGAATTCAGGTGATCCCTGGCCCTATGACTAGAAATATAAGACATTCCTCTGAGTTGCCAAGCTTTCAGGATTATACAAGTCAAACCACAAATCATCCTGACTGTATTTGAGTCTGTGCCCCTTCATTCAATAGAGATGGATTTCTCTTCCACGGTTTTCAGGTTCAGGGTATGTAGCCTTCTGTAGAAGGGGACTGTTGTTGTTGTTATGTGCCGTTGAGTCGGCCAGACTCATAGCGACCCCTCCTTGGGTTTCCCAGGCAGCATCACTACGGAAGTAGATTGCCCAACCTTCCTTCCGAGGAGTGGCTGGTGGGTTTGAACCGCCAGCCTTCTGATTAGCAGTCAAGTGCCTTAGG